ACCGCCAACTCTTGAGCTACTCTTTTAAAAACGATAGTGGGATTGACCGTCACATTATAACGCCCCCAAGGCTGAAAGGCGAGCATGTTTAGTGTAACGGGGATTCGAACCCGGGACCCGCAGATTGCGAGTCGAGTGCCCTAACCATCTAGCCATGCCGGACCATTATAATTAGTAATTTGTATATAATCTATCATGTTTGTTGATTGTTCAAACTGTAATTAATAAATAGTATTTAACTGTATTTGAGTTATTTATGAAGCTCAGTTCTGAGGGTTCCTCTAAAAGATTTGCCCCAAGTCCTAATTCGACCATTATCAAATTTTGGATTTGTTATAGAAATACTGTAATATTTTTACGTCTGAGATATTAATTAAGTAAACATACAGTTTCCTCATTTTATACTGTGAGTGACAAAAGTTGGTAGAGCGTGAAAAGGCAGACGGAGATTCATTAAATCAGCCATGGTCTTTATGTTGATCTTTCAAACTCTTGTCTAATAAAAGCGCTGAGTTCTCTCACTACAGGCGATTGAAAGCACCCAGTTGTGCGTGACTCTCATTAAGACGTCATTTCCGCCTCCTTTCTTATACATCTACTAACATCGCGTTATAAGTCTTTTATAATGGATTCGAAGAGACCGTAATCTACAACTCTTAAAAACTGGTGGTCTCTCGGTTTAGAAAAGACAATAACCTTACATGAAAACGTGAATTCATTCAGTTTACAATCAAACTCTCTCGTGTTTGTATGTTATAGGATATTTGATCAAAGCTACACAAGGGGCATCCATCACCAACTCTTGGGCTACTCCTATCTGATCAAATAGTGGAATTTAATCATCACATTTAGAGCGCACCAACAGCTCCATAATGCGGATAGCGTTTTTGTGTTAATGGGATTGTGAATTCTCAGTCATGACATGTTAACAGCTTGGCCACGCCCAGCCCAACTTCCTCTGAATAACTTTTCTTTCGTTGACCAGATCTTCTCGATCTTTCAAGGCTAATTCGGATGTTAGTCTCCTACAGAGGTAAAAAAATATATATTTAGAGTTCTGAACACAAGTTAAAGTTGTATATAGACTTTCTAACTTTTATGATGTAACATATTTTCAGTTTCAAAATACATCTTGATCTAATAAAATTATGTCAAGGTATGTAATATATTTTATGCTACCTCTCTACTCCAATACTTTTATGGTTTGTTTATAATTAAGCACAAAGCTTCACAATGGAGGATTTATCATTTTGTCGCACATAAGCACTAAACTTGCACCGGGTCCAGAAGCGAACTCACACTGCGCCGCCGCGTTTAATATAAGTAATAGTGACACATTGTTGACTTTGTTGCTATATGCTCACGTATTTTATAGGATGTAATTGAAAATAAAAATGTATACAGACTTTTTTATGTTTGATATCTATTATTTTCATTATTATTATTCTGAAAAATTGCCATCTTCAAAATTTGCCGCCCCAAAAATTTGCCACTATAGGGCCTATTGGGAAATCCGATAGTGGCTGTAACATTTTGTTAAGAATGAAAGGTATTCATATGATTTTTTTTATATCTTGTTTGTGTGCTTCAGAATTTTGTGCAAAGCTACACACTTAACCAACACTAATTTTGAGCTAACAGACTAGAGGGAAGGCAACTTGTCAAGAGCACCCATTAGACTCCTCTTTTACTGGGGGAATGGGATTTGACGAACATTCTTATAGCGCACCCACAACCCCTAAGGACGGAGCGCTTTTGTTTTCTGACACTGGAACATGAACCATGAATCACTGCATTTTTCATTCCCGACTTCAACAAGAAAGCCTGCTATTTAACAACTTTAAGCTATTTCATTTTATCTGCTATGATCTCGTATTGCTTTCTTTGTGTGGCAAATGAAAACCAATATTGTTCTGAAAAATTCAATCCTGGAGCTGGACATAATGATTGAGATGTTCTGGAGCTGGACATAATGATTGAGATGTCCTGGAGCTAATGATTGAGATGTTGGAGCTGGACATAATGATTGAGATGTCTGGAGCTGGACATAATGCCTGGAGCTTGGACATAATGATTGAGATGAGATCCGATACGTTTCTTAATTGTTAGTTTGTTTGTTGTTAAGCGCAAAGCTATACAGTGGGTTATTTGTGCTGTCACCACCATTGGCATAGAAACCCGATTTTTAGCGTTATTAGTCCACAGACTTATCGGTGAGTCATTGGGAGCCTTAATAGTCAGAAATGTGTGTTTAGAACAAGAGAAAGATTAAAGCACTTTCCAATTACAAAAAAAAAGAGGTTAAATGTGGAATGCCAATAAAAAATACAAAAGATCTGTCAAAATTGCATTTTATAATTGGATCTATAATTGCATGTATTTCTGTTAAAAACTATAGTTTTTTTCATAAATGCTAGACCGAGTGTGAATTTGAACTTCACAAGATCTATACTTATATACACGTATGCTCAGAGGCTGTGCTTTCTGCTTGGTTCAAACCTTGGACGTTCTGTAACGTAACCACCTAGAAGATTAATCACTAACCTGCGCTGTGTTTGTTTCTTGATACTGATTATAATAAATTAAGATAAAAAATTACAGCTAAAAACTTACAACATGAAATAAGAAAAAAATTTACAGCTAAATCTTACAACATGAAATAAGATAAAAATTTACAGCTAAAAACTTACAACATAAATAAGATAAAAATTTACAGCTAAAAACTTACAACATAAATAAGATAAAATTTTACAGCTAAAACTTACAGCAGGAAATAAGATAAAAATTTACAGCTAAAAACTTACAACATGAAATAAGATAAAAATTTACAGCTAAAACTTACAGCAGGAAATAAGATAAAATATTACAGCATGAATGAAGATAAAACTATTATAGCATGAAATAAGATAGAAATATTAGAACATGAATGAAAATATAAACTGTTACATCATGAATAAAAATGAAAACTATTATAACATAACATAAGATAAAAATTATTACAGCATGAATGAACATAAAAATTATTACAGGAAGAACAAATATTTCAAAACATGTCATTAAGCATTAAATAAACACTTAATAACTCGCATCAGTTACTCAGGAAACATCTATTATCATAGAAATGCTGGCTTTTTGTAATCGTGATTATAATATGTCTGCTATACTAATCAGTATTCAACTCTTTTTGTTTTAAATTTCAGATGACCCACTGGCATTCTCCACATTTTCATGCATTCTACCCAGCAGCCAACTCTTTCCCTGCTCTTTGTGCTGATATGTTAAGCGGAGGCCTGGGATGTATTGGATTCACGTGGGTCAGTATAGATTGCGTGACAGGTGTCTGTCATTACCACTGGCATGTAGTTTTGTAGATAGAAACCGCAGTTCAGTGTTTGTTTGTATGCTGAATTAGCGTAATTTCTAAATGTCTTATATATGTTTTAATGAATAAAGCTTCGCGAGTAATAATATTTAATCCATGTTCTCTCTTTTGATACCTGTTTGTCCATAATTTAGTCAAAAGATGTTTTCTTAAACTAAATATTAACCTGCCAGTTAAAAATATTTGTTAAACTAAATGAATAATACGGCATTTTACAAACTAACTTCTTAGCTATGACCGTTTCGAATTGTTTGCTTTGAATTTCGCGCAAAGCTACAAGAGGGCTGTCTGCGCAAGCCGTCCCTAATTTAGCAGTGTAAGACTAGAGGGAAGGCAGCTAGTCATCACCACCCACTCATGGGCTACTCTTATCCCAACGACTAGTGGGATTGACCGTCGCATTATAACGCCCCCACGAGTGAAAGGGCGAGTATATTTGGTGGGACGGGGATTCGAACCCGCGACCCTCAGATTGCGAGTCGAACGCTCTAACCATCTGGCCATGCCGGGCCTCGAATTGTTTGAATTTCTGTAGAATTTTGTTATGGAAACTTAAGACTGGTCTTTGAATCAGCAAAAGGAAAAGTGACTTGGAACACGAATACTTCGTGAAGTTATACTGACGCATCAGAATATAATTTTTAATAGTTCGAAAACCTTCACGTCTTCAGAGAAGGGCGCATTTAATAAATGAAACAGTAAATACTATGAAGTGGCTTGGCTGTAAAGCGCAGGGTGGAAAATTTCATTTCCACAGAACTTCCTATTTCTTTTCATATCCTGTTCTTGTAGAACAAATAATGTCCTGAAATGCCTTTTTGTCTTTTCTTATTTCTACATGTTTTTGAAATAGTCTAGAGGATTTCTTTGTAATTTGATATCTCTTCCTGTAGGCTTCTAGCCCAGCTTGTACTGAGCTGGAGATGGTGATGTTAGACTGGTTGGGAAAGATGTTACACTTGCCTGAGGAGTTTCTCTTTTGTTCGAAAGGGCCGGGAGGAGGTGTGATTCAGGTAATGCACATGTAAATAAGAGTTGATTCACGTAACATACACGTGCAGGAAGGGTGATTCAGGTGACGTACATGTACGTGGATGCGTATAACAAAACACTAGTTTAAATTATGAGTATTATATTAAACGTATGTGTAGTGCAAATTGCGTGTTATTTTGACTGTAAATGAACAAAGGTTTTGTACCGAGTTGTTAAAAGAGGTGAAAACGATTTAATATATTTTGTTATTTTTATATAAATAGGTGAGAATATAAACATTTAACCTTTTAAGCACATCAACACAAGGTATGATGACACCATATTTGTGCGCTAATTGTGAAATATAAGGTAACAAGAAGATCCATAAAAGTATTCAAGTAATTTTCATTTGTCACTCTAAATACTGATTCAGGCCTTTAACTGGTGATTTAATTCATTATACTTCCTACATAATGATTCATCACTCTTTCGAATGAATCGAACGACGAAATGCTTTTTTGGGTTCAGATGCATGGTTCATGGTTGTTGTTGGTGACATTATTTTATTTTCTACGATACAAATAACGATAATAAGTATATATATATATATATATATATATATATTCCTAGTGACAAATGAAAATTACTTGAATACTTTTATGGATCTTCTTGTGACCAATGAAAATTCCTTGAAAACTTCGAATGGCCAATGGAAATTGTTTGAACACTTTTATGATTCTTCGAGCGACCAATTAAAATTGATTGAATACTTTTGTTGGTCTTGCTGTTTTAAAATTGATTGGGATAAACTGTAAGATGATTTAATTTCTCCATCATTGAAATATAAGTACAATTAATTTCCTTGATTAGGAAAATCATTAAATCTTGGTTTATTTTATTGCCTACTAAATTCAGGGGACAGCTAGCGAGGCAACATTAGTCGCTTTGGTCTCTGCTCGAAACAAAGTCATGTCAACTTCCAAAACAAATGTCAAGGATGATGTACCCATGGAGAAGTTAATTTGCTATGCCTCAGACCAGGTAAAGTTTTATTAATTTCCATTAATTAATTTGGATTACAAGAAAATGATTTCACTTAGCGTTTTTTTTTTCTTTCTTTTTTTGTCGTTTCAACTCCTCATTAATAGACTTCAACAGAACATTTCTTGTTCAATATGCAGGCACACTCTTCAGTGGAGAAGGCTGCCATGCTAGGAGGATTAAAGTTCCGTTCACTACCAGTCGATGACGCTTTGAGTCTTCGGGGAGACATTCTTCGAGCGGCAATTTTGGAGGATCGAGCCAAAGGAAAAATTCCTTTTTTGGTAAAGTTTTTAACGAAGCTAAATATTTACATTTTCACTCATTTTTTTTGTAATTATTTTAAAATAAATTTACTGTAAGTTATATCTATATAAAGTATTATTTGTTTTGTAAAAAATAAACCTCACTTATAACTGAAAAAACAACAAAAATGTATGATGCCACCTCCCCTTAAAAAAGGTAAACCACTTGTGAGACAAACAGAATTCATTTAATATTTTAATCGTTATATAAAAATTACTTAGAATGTTGACTCGTTTGAACCCTTCTTTGAATACTTGAATTTTAAATTAAGTTATGAACCCAATTTTGAATCCGGCTAGGGAGTTTTTTATTTATCCAGTATAACAAATGTGTTGTACTGCAAAAAACTCGAATATTTGTTATTATCATGAAAGTTTTCTCTTCTGGATGTTAGGAAATTAGTCTTTAGAGGTGAGGAGGAAGAAGTGTCAGGGAAATATTCGAGTGTCTTGTTTTTCAAAGAGTTGAAAGCTGGTATTTGTTTTCTCTCCTGGATGTTAAGAAATTAGTCTTTAGAGGTGAGGAGGAAGAAGTGTCAGGGAAACAATCGAGTGTCTTGTTTTTCAATTAGTTGAAAGCTGGTATTTGTTTTCTCTCCTGGATGTTAAGAAATTATTCTTTAGAGGTGAGGAGGAGGAAGTGTCAGGGAAACAATCGAGTGTCTTGTTTTTTCAATTAGTTGAAAGCTGGTATTTGTTTTCTCTCCTGGATGTTAAGAAATTATTCTTTAGAGGTGAGGAGGAAGAAGTGTCAGGGAAACAATCGAGTGTCTTGTTTTTTCAATCAGTTGAAAGCTGGTATTTGTATTTCCTCTCTCATCAACAACACAGTAGATTTCGACAAGAAACATGAGGCGCAGTTTATTCCTAAGTTCGCTAACTGTTTCAGAGAATTCAATTTCTCTCCAGAAGCTCTCGTCATGTTACTGGTAATGGACGATTTAACATTACATGGTGCAGTGTTCGTCAAAGTGTAGGTGCTCGCCTCCCTGGGGTTGCAAATAATCTTTTGGAGGGGCACTAGTGATTAGGGTATAGTCAATAGTGCAATAATGCCAAATTAAACGTTTTAAGATATTTTTTATTTATGAAAACAATAAGTAATTACTACAACACATAACATTTTAATGTGTACCCGTATATATTATCTCGTCACTCACTCTTTCATTCATTAAAAAAAAAAGAGTTTCAGTTGTATGCAATATATTGTTCTGCCAGAAGGTAGTATAGATATTTTCCTTGTAGTTGATGGGTGTCACGATCGTAGTTTCAGTTGTATGTTATCTATTGTTTCACCGGACGGTTGTATAGATACTTTCCTTGTAGTTGATGGTTGTCACGATCGTAGTTTCAGTTGTATGTTATCTCTTGTTTCACCGGACGGTAGTATAGATACTTTCCTTGTAGTTAATGGGTGTCACGATCTTAGTTTCAGTTGTATGTTATCTCTTGTTTCACCGGACGGTAGTATAGATACTTTCCTTGTAGTTAATGGGTGTCACGATCTTAGTTTCAGTTGTATGTTATCTATTGTTTCATTGGAGGGTAGGGTGGATACTTTCCTTGTAGTTGATGGGTGTCATGATCGTAGTTTCAGTTGTATGTTATCTATTGTTTCATTGGAGGGTAGGGTGGATACTTTTCTTGTAGTTGATGGATGTCATGATCGTAGTTTCAGTTGTATGTCACCCCTTGTTTCATTGGAGGGTAGAGTGAATACTTTTTTGTAGTTGATGGATACAGGGTCGGACCAATCGTTGACGGCGCCCTGTGCGTGATATAAATTCTGCGCCCCTCCTAAAACTGTATAAATCCGTGCCTTCAAAACTGCAAACTTGCGCCTCCTACTGGTCAGCGCTCTAAGCGTGCGCACCGCTTGTACTACCCTTTGTGTGGTCTGAAAGGATGTCATGATCGCAGATTCAGTTGTATGTTACCTCTTCTTGTCAATTCTGTTATTGCTTTATATATATTTGTGTGTGTATTTTTAATTTAAATAGTTTATGAGAAAATGAAGGTTTAAACGACAAACGTTTAGAAATACATACTCACATACGCTCTTGTACATGTTTATATATTTAATTTTTTTTCTTCTTATAATATAGGTCGTGGGAACTTTAGGAACAACTAACTCGTGCGCTTTTGATAACATCAAAGAACTGGGAAAAGTGTGTAAGGATGTGTTTTTTTATATATTTGTCCTTCTTTAAAACATATAAATCTAACAGATTATAAAGATTCTATTTTACAGGTCATAAGGATTCAAATCTAACAAGTTATGAAAATTTAAATGTAACAAGTTATGAAAATTTAAATCTAGCAGGTTATTATGATTCAAATCAAACAGACTATAAGGGTTTAAATCTAACAGGTTATTAGGATTTCTTTGGTGTTTTTTAAATAATTATTAGGTTTAAATGAACTAATTCCAATGAGGAGAGAATTGGTCCATTTTTTTAGGACAAAACTTCTTTTTCTGCTTAAAACAATTGTGAAAATCATAAATAAGTTAATTAAAATTGTCAATGAAACTCTATTGAAGTTACATTATGTGACCACTTTATTTGGAACAATACCTAATCACGGGTTGGGTCAAATTTGGCTCGAATAACAGTCATGCTACGGTGTGGCATAGAATCCACTAGGTGATGAAAGATATTCTGAGAGGTTTCCCCATTCAATCGTTAATATTGCACGCAATTCATGAAACAAGGTAGGCAGAGGACAGTGATGGTGAATGTGCATATCAACTTCATCCAAAAATTTGTCAACTGGGTTGAGATCCGGGGATTTGGTGGCGATCGAGGATGCCTGAAGTCTCCGTCCTGTTCGTCAAACCATACATGCACAATTTCGACACGGTAGATGGAGGAGAGTTGTCATCTTAGAAGACACTGTCCCAGTAAGGGTATATATATGATGCACTTGATATATGTAACACATCACTAGATGTACTTGATCAGAAATGATGCTAAAGTAAGCTGTGAAATTCATTCTATCTTCTAAAGGGACCAAGGGTATGCTATAAGAAACCATAACTCTACCATCAGAGGCCTGGACAGTTGGGACCACCTGTGCAAAATAGGGTAAAGTGTGATTCATTGGACCACATAACCTTTCACCAGTCCTCGTTAATCCAATGTCCATACTCCCTACTCCACTTTAGGTGTTTTGGTAAGCAACCAAATCCAGTGGTTTATGCAATGGTCTCCTATCCTACAGATATATTCCATTTGCTGGAATTTGTTACAACTTTCTTCGAAAGGTACAGCTAAAGATGGGTAGGAATGGCCTGTGACTGGGATAAACACATTTATAAACAGTTTAGCAGATATTGGGAAAAGCAAATATATTGCGGTGTTCAAAACAGGCGTGGCAGTGGATATACGTTTAGTAGATGCCACAGTAGCCAAGAGGGTTTCATTGGTTGGCTGCTTTAAGGTATCGGTCATTCGTGTTTATCATGAATGGAAAACATTGAACAAAATGTCTGCTGCGAGGGGGAAATTGTGATCGTAATCACGTAATGAAAGAAATAAAAGAAAGATCGTTATACAGGATGGTAACGCACATCCGTCACCAAACAATACACTATCTGACAGACATCAAGTGTTTATAATGCTGCAGTGATCATCTGACACATCACGTGATCAACCTAATTTGCATCTACAGCTCAGGTCAGGTCCAAGACTGAAAGGGCACATTGGTTCTAATAAAGTGGTCAGCCAATGTTTATATGTAAGAGCTGCTGGGCAAGCGTCGTTTACAAACTGTGTAGTCTGTAAGTGCTACTTGGCTGAGTGTGACGTCACCTTTTATTGCAGGTAATACCTGGTCTACTGTTAGGCTACGTTATTTGATGATTTGACCTAAACTCTGCATTACGTTAAATATATTTATGCTTCTGATAGTAATGACACAAAATGGACTTATAAACAGATTATTTTCATTCTTACACTCACTAAGATCGCAAAGAATAAAAACATACCAAAATTAAACTAATTTATTTAATTTGTGATTATTACTAAAAGTCAGAAATTAAAATGATCAAAACATTTCAATCAAATAACAAAGCATGAAATTTTAAAAAGCAGTTTGGATATATACACAACCTCATCTAACTCTTACATTAAACATGTCCCCCCGTGGGACACCTTCGGATTTACAACGCTAAAGCTTAAATCAGGGGGTAGATTGCCCTCGGTGGACATAGCAGATAGCCTGATGTGGTTTTGCTATAACAAAACACACAATACACATATATTAAATATTTAACATTTATCACCCTTAAGATGGCAAGGTGCCACCTGGTGACGTTAGGTGAACTTAGCGAAACCTTGGGGTTTCAATTTTTTTTAGCATATTTACTTGCTTATCCGTAAATCTAGACCTGGCCTGGTTGTAATGGAGCACTCGAATTGCAATCAGTGGGTCTCGGGTTCGTATCCTCGTCACCGAAACCATTCTTGCCCTTTCAGCCGTGGGAGCGTTATAATGTGACAGCCAATCCTACTATTCGTTTGTATAAAGAAACCCAAGAGCTGGCGGTAGTTGGTGTTCACTAGCTGCCTTCCCTCTAGTTTATTACTTCCAAATTAGGGACGGCTAGCGCAGATAGTCCTTGAGTAGCTTTGCACGAAATTCAAAAACAAACCGTAAATCTAACAATATATATATATTATTATTATTATTAAAAACATGCATTGATTTCGTTTTATTATCATTTTAATGATCATAACATTAATCCGTACAGTAATCTAGCTCTGAATTCTTGAAACCCTGAGATGTGTGCTTTTTCTGTGACGCTTTCATAATACAAAAAATACATCCTTACAAATAGGGTCCCGATGCTTGACAGTACTGTTTGTATGTACACAAAAGATGAGGACAAAAAAGAAAATATGATATGTGTGTGTATATATATATATATATATATAGTAATA